CCCCCCCGCGCTTGAGTTGAAAGAGCCTCGTGCTGCTTTAAAAAGTAATTGATCTTAAAAATAAAAAAAAACCAATCCTTGTGACACTAAAAGCCTCTTAATTTAATAAATTGATCAATACAGTGGATATGAACGCATAGAAGAATTCAGGTGTTACCTCCTGAAAAAATTGAAAGCCCATTAAGAGGAGTGGGTAAGAAAGATGAACTCGCGATCTACTAACCTCAAAGCTGAAGAAATGAAAGTTTTAAAAAAATGGGTAAAAATTTATTAAGCATTTAAACATGGTAATTAACTGGATGACGATAGTAGACTATTTTGGAGTGGAGTTCAGCTTGAAATGACCTCTCATCTGTGGGTTCTGCTTTTTGGCAACCGAGAGAAGAAATGGCTTGCCGAGACAAGACCCACCATAATAGTAAAATTATCGCTTAATAATGAAAAAATAATCACAGGCATAATAAGAATTTGATTAGTAATCCTGAGAACAAACTAGTCATTTTAAATAAGGGGTGTGCGATAGACTTACCTCCATGTGGTGCAACCTGGGCAACGTATACTCATACGGGATAAAAGTCTATCAACCGGCAGTTGACTTCTCACTTCAAACTACCATGACCCGACTGCATGTCATATTCGATCACTTCCACAGTACTCATCTTACCTCCTTATCTGCCTTTGTGTTTGTCTGACCCTTTCACGTCTGTGAATCATTATTCTGTCCCCTCTCTCGACTTTTTTGCCACTTTGATGTTCCCCCTCCTCCTCAGTGAAGTCCGAAGTCAGCTACAGGGCTAATGATAGCCATCAATACGCCTGCCATTTGAAATAAATAAATAAATAAATTTTAAATAATGATAAAGTGTAGTGCTCACTTTGTGAATAGTAGACAACCCGAATCCGTGCATCGAATCAAGCAAATCTTTATTCGATTGCCCCACACCCTTTTCCATTATGACTACCCATAAGGACCCGCCTACATTAAATTGAAAATGTGTCAGTATTCTCTTTTTTCTTCACTTTTGGAAAATAATTTAGAACTAGATATTACCACACAAAGAAGTTGAGTTGAATTAGAATTTGACCCTTTGATATGATTTCTAACGATACCTTTGGTACAATGCCAGAACGTTAATTAAACTTTTTCTGAGCAGTTGTAATCCTTTTGAAGCACTTAAGTTCAAACCGCGGCTCCTCTCAAATTGATTGGTCTATGATTTTGGGGGCTTTCGATGAAACTCTAGCTAATCTTAAAGATGAGGTGACATCAAATTAAAGTGATCATGAATTTAGTTACGATATCTAGAAGGCACTCCGCGATATATTTTAATTTGAGTATCGATTTTTAATCACCTTTTAACTGGTAAAGAAAGCCTTTTCAATCGATAAATTCTCCTCATGTTCCGTTAACCGTAAAATCACAAGACTCCAAAACTTGCCTCCCAATTGGCTTTGCCGAGAGTTTATAAAA